TCTAGTCCCGGCTCTCTGGAGCCAAGTATTGTTCACGTTTTGGATAAAATAACTGATAATCTTACTAAAGTCATTGACTCCAAGATTTCGACTGTCCTCGAAGCTTTTAAAGAACAGACTTCACAGCTGCAGGCGATCGCCGCCAGAATGAATGAGGCCGAGAAATGGATTGCTGATGTGGAAGACACAGCGACATTATCAGAGGCTAAGCTGGAGCAACTCGAGAAACAAATACATGAGATGCGAGAACATATAGATGAACTTGACAACCGAGGTTGCAGGTGCAACGTACGTATAGTCAGCTTACCTGAAGGTACGGAGAGCCCAGATCCAGTTAAGTTCCTTAAAAAGTGGATCCTGAAGTACCTCCGGATGGACACAAAGGCAGAGAGGCTAAAACTTGACCGAGCACACCAATCCTTAGCACCGAAGCCCGGCGCCGATCAACGTCCCAGGGCACTTATAGTGAAGTTTCACAACTATTTCAATTGTTTACTGAATACTCTGATTGACAGGCTCCCCCACAAGCCACTGCCTCTCTCACCACAAGCTTAATTCTATCTGTGAAGATCTGTGTTGATGTATAGAGAATAAAACAAGAATACACTTTTTTTGTCCGCACCACACAAATGCCATACTAGGATTTTATTTTTTTATTTTTTTGGGGCTATTATTGCACTTAGTTTTATTGTGTGAAGTTGGTAGTATTAGAATTTCAGACCATGCCAATGTAGTGCTGGATAAAGGTATGGTAAACAGAGAAAAATATTGGAGGTTAAATACAACTATTCTAAAGGACCATACATTTATATCTTACTTCAACATCGAGTTTAAATATTTTTTGTCCATCAACCTGCAGTCAACAAATGACTCCGCCCTACTGTGGGAAACTATTAAAGGTATTTGGTGTTTACACCTTTCCTAGCAGCCTCTTCATGGTTCCCACTTGTTTGTCGGGTTCCAAGGCACTTGTAGCTATTCTGCAATGTCGCCTTCTGGTGGTACAATTTCTTCAGTTCTGACTACTTCTCTCTCTCGCGCGCTCTCTGATACCATCTGACTATGTCCCCCCCAGTCCAAATGACATTCCAATGTTGTTGATGGGCCCTTCCTGTTCGAGCATTACTGTACACCAGTATACAAAGCAAGGTCCATGGATGAGTGGGTTTGGTGTAGAAGAACTTGATGGTCCTGCACAGAGAGCACAAATGCTGCTGGCAGTCCTTATGTCCAAATATATCCCCTCACTTTCCTCTCTTCTCTTTCTCACACCTTTCCCTATCTCTGATTTAAGTTATCTCTTACTCTTTTCTCTCCTTGGGAAATACAGCAGGTGTACCTTTAGCTAGCACAGTGTGACAATGTGTCTTTGGTGATTTTTGTTCCTGCCATCTGAAGGTACTTATGGATATCTGGACCAAAAAGTCTGTTCCAGATGGTTCTGGCCTACTTTAAAGATATTTGTATTAAAATGTAAAAAAGTAAAAGGTTGTCTGAAGTCGTCTCAGTAAATAGTATTCTAAAACTAGAAAGCAACAAATCCTCAAAGTTAATGATGTGTAGCACAGATCAACTATTAGTGATTTTCAATTTATTCAAGATTTATTCAAGCCAAAGGCAAAGATTTATATATTTGTCTTGTACTTAAAAAAAATACAGTTTCACTACCACTCAGAGAATGACTGGGAAGTGTTAGCAGAATATCCAAATATCCTCATTTCAGTCTTCATCTCACTTTTGCCATCATTCAGCTAGTTACATATAAGATAAGATTAGGTCCCAGGTGTACAGTAAAACAGCAATAATCTGCCTATGGATGATTCATAATTAACACATTCACATTTGAAATGTAGAAAATATTAAGGATTATATAATCTATTTTATAATAATAACACAATTATATTATTATATAAAATACTTTTATCATTGTGCATCTTGATGTTTGGTATTATTATGAAATTTAAGCCCTGATTCATCGTCATTAGACAGAGTCTGTCATTAAAAACCAAACAAAAACTTCAATAGAGATGAAACTTTATTTTAGAAGAGAAGTGCTTACAAATATTCATATATTAAAGTACGGTGGACTGGACAGACTGATTGGCTGTCAGATGTGTGGCTGCCACGTAAGGCTCAAAACTTTGGTACATTCTAGCCAGACAGACAAGTGAGAGAACTGACAGAACTGTTTTCAGTACGAGAAGTATTTGAAGTGAATTTGTACATGAAATTTTACTCAGCTTCCTGCCAAAATGTATCTTTAGTCTCTAAAAATATAAAGAAGGAAAACAGTAGGTCCAAGACAAAATCAATTTCAAATATTTAAAGCAGCAGGAGTGGTTCCAATGTTCGAAATAAATAACTGTGCACTAAATAATTTACACTGTTGAATGCCATCTAACACACATAAACCTCTCTGCACAGTAGCAGTCTGTATGTTGTTACTTCAGGCACACATCCAGTGGTGTAAACGCAGTGGGACACTCATTTCAGCAAGAAAAGAAAGTAGATGAAGAATTAAGCATGTTTACACAACACTCATATTACAAGAAAATAAGTCAGAACTAAAGGGACAGTGAAAGGTGATGAGAATATAGACACATTCAAAGTAAGTAATTGAGAACTTGTGTCAGCATTAATGATAGTGCATCAGAATTACTCAGAAATATTTAGTTTCATTAAGGGCAACTTTTTTATGCACTGCTTTTAGGTTCCTTTTTAGTCTTTAATATTCTGTGCATGAAATAATAATATAAACCAAAGTCCAGGACTAAAGATTTGACTTGTTTTTCTGTGGTAGTGCAGTGCATGCTTAAATTTATACTGCATCCTAAGTGAAGATCTGAATATACAAAAGAGAATAAACTAACTGCAAAGTCCTTCGAACTGGATTTTATGGGTAATGTTCATGCTTCTACCATTACAGAGTTTTTACTGCTGAATGACTGAAGAAGGTCCAGGTGCTTAATTGGCTGACATCTAAGTCTTTCATCAGTGAAAAACATTTGATACATGAGGAAGTGAAAAACACAACAAAGACTTAAGTAACTAGAATCCTATATCAGACAAGAAGGAGATAACCTTCCTTTTCCAAAGACTCACTCAATAGTGATAAACATGACACGATCCCGTCTTAATTTTTATGAGATGTGTTTCTGCCATTAAATTCAAATTGACTTTTTTTTTCCCTCAAACTCCTCAAATTTTCTGTCTTAATTTATATTTTACATAGCATCCTAATGTTTTGAAGACTGGGGTTGTAAAAGTAAAATGATAAATTGATGATCATATATTGGTTGTCAATATAGTAACTCAGGTAAGTGGTGACCAAATATGTTTTTGCCAACAGATCCAGATCTGGTAGAGATATCACAATCTACACTGTAAAGCTAGCTAGTTAGTTCAGATCACACATGTCACTCCTGCATCATTAGAAAACGAGTTAAACAACAGGGTAGCTGCAATACCAAAAATGTCTGACTACACTCCAGAATTTGCTGAGGACAAAGTCCACTGAAAAACAAAAAAAAAATTACCTTAGGTCTACCTCAGGTTTTTAATAAATAAATGCACAACCTACACATAGTGAAGTTACTACATCACAATAACATGCTGTATTACAAGTGCATTGTAGAGACACATAGTCTTGGATGGTCCTCATAGTCCTCCAAGATCCATCCAAACTCAGTTAAAGAAGTAGAATCAGGTCAATATTCGCAGGGAAGGCAGTGGCTGCAGGTTCTTTAATTGGTCTAACCACTTTAACCTCCTTGATTACCCCCCCCAAAAAAAAAACAAAAACAAACCTCAGGCGCCCTTGACCTCTGATTGGTCAGATCTTGGCAGTTCCAGTCAGAGTCCTAAAGTGAGCGCAGGTCTTCATTTGTCATGTCACATAGGTGAAAGCAAGTTATTAAGTAGGTGTGAAGTACATGCAGGTGCAACAAAAAAGGTTTACCTCTGTACACAAAACATTTCGAAGGGTCAGATCCTGTAACAAAACATCCTGTTATAAATTTAAATCAGGAGTTGGACTTCAAAATCTGACTTTTAAACGTCACTATCAGCAGCAGTCTTCCAGGGGCAGACGCAGGTAAACTGGGATATGGGGGAGACGAGAATCTCATTCCAGTCCAAAGGTGCTGGTCTCTTCCACAGCAGTCAGCAGCTTCTCATACAGCACTGAGAAAGATGGGTACGGTGGTAGGTCCAGCCGGTTGAAGCAGGTGTGAGCTCTGGAGAACAGACCATGTATTAAAGCACAGGCCACTGACAGGATACATAGAGAAGCTCAAATCTAAGAAAAATCAGGTTTTATTATCATAATTACTACAGTGCATGACCGAAATAAGTGCCTGGAAATGCAGAGAACTTTAATATTTAATATCATAAACACAGAAATAACTAGGATTACCCCAGCAAACTAAATGTGGGGCACAAAGTTTGACTGTGTGAGAAGATTACCATTTCTTCTTTTTGCATTAACATTTACAGACGTGACAGACAGACAAAAAACATGTCAACGTTAAGAAACTCAACTGAAAAGAGAGAAAAATAAACAAATTAAAAAACATATTGTTGCACCTGTATGTGTAATCATAGCATGTTTCTGTGAAGACTAAGTATCTTTCAAGTTCTTTTCTAGTATAGCACATATATACATAATAATACATTTTTGATTAGAACCAGAAATCCTATCACTATTGTATCATATCAAAATTACCCCTACATGGAGAAAGAAGGAGAGCACCTCTGATTAAAAAAATATCACATTTTGACCACTAATTATCATTTTTATCAGTTAAATGTTTAAAGGAAAATTTCATTCTTTCCATTGCATGTATATGTTATACAGTCTCTATCCTAACAATCTTCAATAGTCGGACATGTGATATGAAAAATCTTAAAATGCTCTTCCCAATTACTCCTTTGCATGTTTCTGAATTTGAGGTGTAGCAGCCTTTCTTATACATATTAAGCCAGTCATTTTTATTTATTTTATATTTGCATCTTTCTCCCTAAATGTACGAGGTAGATAAAAGTAGATCGACGTTTTTTCCTTCTTGCAGAGACTCGAAATAAGTTTCCCCTTTGTGTTGCCTTCATATGAGTTCACAAAAATAGTGATCAGGCCAGATTCTTTACCTTGTGTAATTGTGTCTTTTTTGAAGATGTCTAAAAAACGTCCTCTTTTTCTAAATTCTATTTATTAGAATGTTTTTGGAAGGAATCCAGGCCTTCTTCAGATGATACATAATGCCATATGAAGTGATTCCATTCTCTACCCATTTTTTTAATCTGCCATCTAATTCTGCTGGAAGCAATTCTGACAATAGTGAAGTCAGGCTGCCTTGTAATAATTTTCTAGGCAATGCAGAGCTATCCCTCTCTCCTCTTTGGTTAACTGCAGAGGTAGGAAGTAATGAAGTACAAATCTTAAGTAGAATTTTCAGATATTTGTACTTTACTTGAGTAGTTTTGTTTTTGCCTACACTGCATGCCAATTGGCTAGAATGTAGGTTTAATTTGCATGTAGGCAATCCTTGATTATTGTCCTTTTGTAAAAAAATTAATAAATAAATAAAAAAAATACAAAAAATACAAAAATGTGTTTCTGGAAAATTGCCCAATACTTAAAATTACTTGATGTAATTATATCATTGTTTCCTGCAAAAACCTGACTTGTTACCAGTACGTTTACACCTTTCTGGATTGAATTGTCATTATTATAATTATTTTTTGCACATATTTTGACCAGCTAATAGTCAATTTCAGGCTTTTATCTTTAATAGTTTTGAGATATTTATAAGCAAACAATTTTTTTCAAAGTGCAAACAAAAAGAACAAAACCATAACATTTTTACGCAAATCTGAGATGGTTGGTATTTACCTGGGTAGGGAGGTGACTTTACCCCACTTCTCCACACAGAACCTACGGGGTCCATTGCTGCCTCGCAGAGAAGCAAAACCCTCATATGGAATGCTGGATGTCCCAGTCACAAACTGAGGATATAAGGTGAGAGACAACAAGTAGAAAAAAGACATGCAGATAAGAACACCAAGAAAGAACTGCAGTGTTACATGTTTGTTTGTTGTTATTGTTGTTTTTAATAAAAAGCCTCTTTAACTAAAACAAAAGAGCCTACCTGTAGGAGCCGCAATCTCTGCTCATTATTGAATCTCTCCACCGCTGCCCAGAACCACCGGATCACAATGTGGTTATCATGGTAACCTAAACACAACATTTCATGTTTTGTCAAAATGTCATGGTAATAGGACTATAACGAAAGCCAAAAAACCAAAGCTCAAGTCTGAGTGAATCAAGGGATGAGCTTTTTGAAACCTTATTCTTAGTAAAAGTCGCCGAAGTTGTTAAAGTTTTTTTAAATCCTTTTTTAAGTGATGTATTTATTTTTTCATTTTAAACCACAATGACAAAAAATCAAAATCAGAAAACCACCACGAAAACAAAACACAGCAAAACACAACAAATGTCTTGATGCATGCTGAAGTTGATCCAGTTCATCTGGACGTTTTGACGTTTTTAGTGGGAGAAAAGTTTCATCACTCATCCAAGTGACTTCTTCATTCTCAGCTGAAGGCAGCAGTTGTTGTCTCTGTGGCTTTCAAATCCCAAAAACTGGTCCACCTGAACGATCCAGTCCCATGGCACAAATAGAGTAATATAGTGTACACTGTTCAGTCGAATGATTTATAAATCGGGGAAACCAAACAACCTCTCGACAGCCCAGGACTCTGCAGTCTACAGGCCAGTGGCCACTCTGTTAATGATGAGGATGTAACATCCTGGACAGGGAGAAACGCAGTTTGAGTGGGGAATCAAGGAGGCCATTTAGATGAAAAAGGAAAGACCATCTCTGAATCGATGAGGGGGCCTAAGGGTACATCTGTCACCATCTTATAAGGCTGTGATTGCAGCCATTCCCCAACTCTCTGTGAATAGTTCTCATGGCGATTGATCAGTGGTCTTTGATCATCAATGGTCATTACAATTTGCAGTCTTTTGAATATGTGGCTTTACAGCTGAAGGCCCCATCCAAAGTTGTGTTTCTTAATGTTTACAGGCCTCCCAAATACTGTACAGACTTTTTTAATGACCTCAGTGAACTGCTGTCTGTGATCTGTGTTGATTTCGACTGTGTAATTATTGCTGGGGATTTTAATATCCATGTGGACAACCCTCAGGACAAAGGGACTAAAGACCTGAAAGTAAAATCTCAGCCCACACAAATATATCAACAGCAGTGATCACAAAACGGTGTATAACTGAAGACAGTAGTGAGATCTTTAACCAGGTCTTCCCATTAACACCTGACCTGTCCAGAGGGTCAGTCAATGAGCTCGTCAATAGCTTCAATGCTAACATGTTAAATGTAATGGACACTATTGCTCCCATTAAGGTGAAGGTTATCTCTGGAAGGAAAAAGTCTCCATGGAGAAACTCCACACTGGTGAAAAATGAAAAAAGAGAGTGTAGGAAAGCTGAGCGCAGATGGAGAAAAACAAACCTCCAGGTTCATTATGACATCTATAAAGAGAAACTTCACAATTATAATTTACAACTGAGGAGTGCAAGGAGGTCCTACTTCTCTGACATCATCACTAAAAACAGCCATAATGCTCGGGTCTTATTTTCTACAGTTGACAGGCTAACAAACCCTCCTGTGTCAGTGGCAGCTGAACTTCATTCAACCATGGCCTGCAATGACTTTGCCAAATTCTTCACAGAAAAAATCCAAAAAATTAGACAAGCAATTGGTACATCAACAGCAGATCCAGGATATGTACTGTGTCCACCAAAAAACTGTTTAAACACCATGAAACAGTTTCAACCTATTAACAGCAAAGACCTGGAGGACATCTTAGGTCAACTGAACTCCTCCTCCTGCTGTTTAGATGTCCTGCCAACAAGTTTTTTCAAAAAGGTCTCAAAGACTTTAGAGTCAGACCTGTTACAGATCGTCAACTTTTCTTTATTATCAGGTGTGTTTCCAGAATCACTAAAAACTGCTGTAATCAAACCTATACTGAAAAAGGACAATCTTGACAAGACACAAATGAACAACTACAGGCCGATCTCAAATCTCCCATTTTTAAGTAAGATCATTGAAAAAGCAGTTTCTCAACAGCTCAGTTACTTCTTAAAACAGAATAACTGCTACGATGCCTTCCAGTCAGGTTTTAGACAGAACCACAGCACTGAAACCGCTCTGACCAAAGTGTTCAATGACATATGTCTGAAACAGACAGTGGAAAAATGTCAGTCTTAGTTTTACTGGATCTCAGTGCAGCATTTGATACAGTTGACCACAACATATTACTCAAACGACTGGAGAACTGGGCAGGTCTTTCAGGAACTGTACTAAACTGGTTCAAAACATACTTAGAAAACAGGAAATACTTTGTATCAATAGGTAACTTCACATCTGAGCAGACAAGTATCACATGTGGAGTTCCCCAAGGTTCCATCTTGGGACCCCTTCTGTTTAACATCTACATGCTCCCACTGGCACAGATTATAAAGAACAACAAAATAAACTACCACAGCTATGCAGATGACACACAAATATATATCACAATGTCACCAGGAGACCGAGGCCCTGTACAGGCTCTTGGTAAATGCATTGAGGAAATCAATGACTGGTTGTGCCACAATTTTCTCCAGCTAAACAAAAACAAAACTGAGGTAATAGTCTTTGGCGCCAAAGAAAAACGATTACAGGTCACCAGAGAACTTCAATCTATACACCTAAAAACCACAAACCAGGCGAGAAATTTGGGTGTAGTGATGGATGCAGACCTAAACTTAGAAAAACACATTAAGACAATAACAAAGTCAGCTTACTATCACCTCAAGAATATTTCAAGGATAAAAGATCTGATGTCTCAACAGGACCTGGAAAAACTGACCCAATTTGTCTCAGGGTCACTTTTCTGTTTACACGCAGACAGGCGCGTGTGTGTGTGTGTGTGTGTGTGTGTGTGTGGTGCCACTGGCTGGAGTCGCTATAGCAACCAGGCTCACACCTGCCTGCTTAATGAGCTCTGTCTCTGTGTGTTCATTGTGAAACCTGGCCCCGCCCTATCATGTGATGTCCTGAGGTCAGATGGCCCAGGATGTGAGTGGGCGTTAAGGCGTCTGGGAAGGATCTCAAAACTGGATTATAGATGGCAGAGAGTTGGTGTCGTAAGCCCCGCCTCTGTTCAAAGATGGTCGCTCACAGTGGACATAGATGCTTCTTTCACTCCTCTTTCAATGAGCTCACCCGAAACTCTGGCTGATTGGGACCCACACCCAGTTTCACACCTTGGCTCATGTGATTTAGAGGATCATCAGGGGGTCCTTTTGTCCCTCTGTGGGGGGGAAACTCCCACTAGGTTTATATCTGGGACTCTCCACCATTTGACCTTAGAACTGAAGAAGCTTCTCGGATGAGAGGTGAAACGTCTTCAAGCAACTCAAAGAAGTCCAGACGCTTTTCTCTCCAAGCTCCTTAGACTAGACCTGGATGACTGAGAACCTTCACAGACACAGTATGTCTGTAGTTAGTGCAGGCCATCTGATCAGAGCATTCTGCTTGGCCCGTTAAATTCAAGCTTATCGTTCATCGGTGGATTTGTCTTCTGCACACAGGTGGTTCAGATCTGGGCAGTTGGAGTCAGATGATGACTTTTAGAATCATCTTTTCTGACTGAATGACTAAAACTTGCAGCATTTACCCGTCTGTAGTGAATCCTCCCACATTTCAGTCATTCAGTGATTAAAAGAATATGAACTTTTAATATTCATTCAGATGTTTTCTGACTCTAAATTTCTTTTGTCATTACTCAGCTTTTTCTAATTTCAACTTCTTCTGTGTGAACGTCAGCTTTCAACAGTTCTGCACTTTAGTTTTCAGGTGAAGAATTCAGAACAACATTCAGCAACATTCATTTCAGCTCAAAACATTCAGCTATCAGCATTCACGCTGCAGTGTCTTTAGAAAATGCATTTTCTAGTTACCTTTTGTTTCCAGCTTCTTATTGGTTGTTACATGAATTTAATGCTAGTATTTCTCAAACATAAAACTGCGACTGTAATAAATAACTAATAGCAGGTAATAGCTTCTCTTTCCCCTGGGTCACAGGTTGGCAGTTTGCATAACTCTATTAACACACATGCTATATGTATTCATTTATCCTCCCCCAGTTAGATCTGTGATCCACCTGTCTGTCCCCAGCTGATCCTTTTCTCCTGTTCTTTTGATGTTGAAGTTTGCTGACACCTGCCTTAGTTAATTGTAAGGACAACACTTTATCTTAAACTTTATCTAAAGGTTTAAACAAATCTATCCTGAAAAACAAACATTCATTCTTAGCTTCCTCCACACCTCCTCTGTACTCAGTGTTGTTCCTCCAGTCTGTTAAGTCAATTTCCGCAGTGCCTGCAATTACCAGCTCCAGTTCCCTGGCATCAAACACAGACACCAACCTGGCATCCACCACCTGCAAAAACATTCAAAATGTAAAACAGTGAGATCTTTTTTACACTGTACATTTAGGGGCACTAGAGATAAACTGGGTGATGCATAACATGTGAAATATATATAAAACTCTGTCACACTAAGCCATACCTCATAGAAGCCTCTGACCAAGCTTTCAGTCTGGTGCACCACTCCTCTCTCTATCCTCCACTTTACCATGCGCTCAATGTATTCCTTCTTGTTCTTCTCTGAGACAGGAATGTTGGCTCCACCGGGCTTCAGCTCCCTTTCTGTTATCTATGGCAAACACAATTATTTGGTGGATATCATGGATTGTTTCCTTTCTAAATCATGAACGGTTAACGAGATTCAAGCTAGAGTGTCTTTCCTCCTCCTCTGCACCACTGTTCAAACTGCAGGACAATCACTTTTCGTTCTCAAATCCAATTTCGAGATTTTCTACCCTGTTATTTGCAACAGCGTATATTGGCAGTACATTCTGTATCTTCACATATATCCAACAACATTTCTCTAAGTGTTTCGATGATGAAAGTAAATCTAGTATCTTTATTTTTCAATTATCTTACACTATATTCACTTACAGACGTGAACAGCATGCTACCTGACTGGACAGTGCTGTGCAACACCCACATTACCAAACTTGGTGTTGGTGACAGCATGTGATGTTGTCTGGTGTTGCAGATTGCCCACCCTTGGTTGGTCAAGTTTGTTTATTTGTTGGTCAGAATTGTTTAGGCCCCATGAAGACCTCTAGTGAATAAAGTTAACAAAAACTCAAAGTAAATGAAACGACTGTAAAATAATGAAAAAGGATTGATAAAACTGGCAAATCACTCGGTAACCTTCATCCACTGGAGAGACGGGTGAGACTCCTTACACTGCCAAGGCATCTGGGATGTTGGCTTGGTGTGAGGCCAGGATTGTACCCAAGTTGTGTATTTTAATTTGGTAATTGGACTGGTGCTTTTCTACTCTACCTGAGCACTCAAAGCCCTCAATACAATTTGCCTCAGTCACCAACTCACACAAGCACTCTGCTTTCTCTAAGTCACGTTGAACTATCTAACATTCACACATAAGTATCGTATTTGGCATGTCGACCGAAGCAGCCAGGGAACCACCAACCATCCGATTAATAGATGGCCTGCTCTACGTCCTGAGCAACAGCCACCCCCATTTGTTGAAAGCATAGTTGGTGTACACACACACACAAGCACGCACACACCTACATACACTGACCTGTCCAAAAACTTCTTCATTGACAGTGAAGGAGAGGTCCAGCATATCGTCTATGTCGTTGTCCTTCATCCACTGAAGAGACTGGTGAAACTCTTCATCCAAATACTCCAGATCACTCAGGTCACAGGGACTACAAGTTGGGAAAGGCGGATAATGTGTGTCTGCTGTCTTAGACCCACATACAGATTAACTTATCCTCACACTGGCTCTTGTTCACAGTTAAAATCTGTTTAAAAATGTACATATTAGTCACATTAGTACACATTAGTCACTTTGTTAAGTACGTATTTCTAGTACTGAGTTGGACCCCTGTTGCATTCAGAACTGCCATAATTCTTGATGCCAGACATTCAACAAGATGCTAGAAACATTCCTCACAGATTTTGACAGGAGTGGCACCTGGTGTAGTGCATCTGCACCAAGCTCCTCTGCCTGCTTTGGTTGGTTGGTTATTTTCACATTACTATCAGCTTGAAGTGGTCTGGCCATTGTCCTTTGACCTCTGGCATCAACACATGTTCAGAGAACAGCCACTCACAGGATATTCTATATTTGTCATACTATTCTCTGTAAATCCTAGATTCCCAGCTTTTGAAATAGCAGACCAGCCGGTGTGACACTAAAAACAATGACACTTCAAAGTAACTTAATCACCTCTCTTGTCCATTCTGATGGTTGTTGTGACCATGTCTACAAGCATTAAGTTGCTGTCATTTTATTGGCTCAATAGGTGCGCTGGACAGCTGTCAGAAGACTGCTGTGGCTGGTGTGGTTTGGGGTTCAGCTGCAGGGGAAGGGTGGTGGAGCAGCAGGCTCAGGGGACAGCGTCAGGGCAGAAACAGCAGATTCTGATTGGACTGATTGTTTTTTCCTCTCCTTATTTTAGTATCTGCTGGGGCCTGGAGAGTAGGGATCGGCCCAAGGCTGAAGAAATGCCAAGAGGGCTGGAGATGGGCTGGGTTGGCGTGTGCTGTAAACACACACTGACCCAGAACACACTTCTATAGCAGCTATAGTTCTAGCTGCAGTATGTTGGCCCACAAAATATTAAACCCTGGATTAAGAATGTGATATCACTCAAGACGAGCGAAAACATAGAATATATGTGTTAATGAGCAGCTGCTCAGGCGTACCTAACAAAATGGCAGGTGGGCGTATACATACAGACATTTCATGTGCATTTGAGTATTGTGTGTCAACATACATCCGAAGTAGGCCTTTATAGAAGGGTCTGGTGAAGAAGGCATCCAGCAGGTACTGATGGATCAGAGCCATTCCCAAAATGCGACCACTGAATCGGAACCTGAGGCACACACAAACAAAAGTTAAATAGTGTGTGTGTGTGTGTGTGTGTGTGTGTGTGTGTGTGTGTGTGTGTGTGTGTGTGTGTGGGGGTGTGTGTGGGCGGGGTTTCAAATTGACTTTTACCACTCATGGTGATTGTCAACGAAGGCAGACATGGGACTGATCTGAACGGTGTAGGTGTCATTGGCAGAGTACTCAAACAGACCATAATAAGGGTTAAACAGTTCTCTGGAAACCAAGAAGAAAAATTCTCTCGAGGGCCCGCTGTAGTCCAACCTGAAACACACACATTTAGACTTTAGATTTCCTTTCTTTCTTTTCTTCCCTTCCTTGCCCCTCCCAGACACTCACCCCTCCTCCCCGACAAAGCTAACATAGAGCTTGCTCCGCTGTAGGTCTTTCCGGGAGTAACACATGATTTGGTTGAAGGCATCTTCCAGGAGTTGGTCACGACGAATGATCAGTCTAAGACAGACAGACAAGAGTGAAGACATTGGGGAGACCAAATAGGAGGGAGTTGCAATAATCGATCCGGGAAGTAATAAGACTGTGGACGAGGACGGCAGCAGCATGGAGAGTAAGGAAGGGACGGAGTCGGCTAATGTTACGTAAGTGGAAGTAAGCAGACCGGGTTATGTAATTCATGTGAGACTGGAATGAGAGAGTATTATCAAGTATGACACCCAAACTCTTAACCTGAGGGGAGGGGAGGGTGGGAGAACTTTCAATGTTAATGGAACAACTGTGGTTAAGATAGAGGCCGTGCCAACAAGTAAAACTTCTGTTTTATTACTGTTGAGTTTGAGAAAATTGGAGGAGAACCAGGATCTAATCTCCATAAGACAGTTTGAGAGGGAGGTAGGTGGGAGGGATGAATTGGGTTTGGAGGAAATGTAGAGCTGGGTGTCATCAGAATAGCAATGAAAATTGGTATTATATTTTCAGAACATATGACCAAGAGGGAGCATGTAGATAATGAATAAAAGAGGCCCTAATACTGAACCCTGGGGCACACCAGCAGAAACAGGATAGAGACTTGAAGAATGGGATTTAAATTGGATAAACGGAGTGCGGTCTGAGAGATAGGAGGTGAACCAGGCAAGGGTTGTTAGGGTTGAAGAAAAGAACCCGTCCCTCCCGGAGGAGGAACAGGTGGTGCACGGGCCATCAACCCCGATGGTCCGCAGCCTCACATCCCTCTACCTCCATAATTGTTTTTTAATTTGAATGGTAAGTATTTCTTTTTTACAGGTTTGCCCAGGTAGGTATTCTTTTTTTGCAGGTTCCCAATTTTTCCGTGATTTTGGCTTGTTTCCAATAAAGTGATTTCAATCCCAATTTGTTTTCTGTGTGGTTTTTTCATTTATTTTTGATGTATCTCTAATTTGAGCTTTTAAGGAAAATCAAAAAAACATGAAATAAAACATGAAATAAAATCCCCCAAAATAACAAACTAAAATAACAAACTAACGTAAAAGTGAAAAAATTAAATGAGTATGCCCTTGTCGCGACGTTTCGAAGGTGTTGCTTCTTCCTCAGGCGAGGGCATACTGAAGAGCTCTGTGTTTGAGCCTCCTATTTATACTCTCCCCTCTGATCCCGCCTCCTTGGCTTTCTTTGGCTTTCTTGTAAACTTTTTTTTCAGCTTTTTGCTTTTTTCCAATTCTGCCAGACTTTTTGGCTCTCATCTTTCCCTTCTTCTTTCTTTCTTCTTTTCCAGTCTTCTCCTCTTTTCCCTTTTCATCATCCTTTTCTTCCCTTCTCTTGACCTCTGCCCTTTACCCTTCCTTTTGGCCTACATCTGACCTCTTTCTCTTCCGAATTTTGGGCTACTACAATGCCGACTTGGCTTTAATACTACACTCTCGACCCTGCTTGGGGAGGACTCAACCCGACTTGGGGAGTAAATTTAGAAAGGAGATGTGACTTTGGGTTAGGCTTTAGGTTTTAGCTGGGATTAGGATTACTTGGGCTTCAGATCCAGTACTTGGGTAAGGTTTAAGATTTAATTCCCAGGAAAGAAGTAGAATTAAAGGATCAAAATTACAAATTGTTTAGGGCCAGATTAGATCAGGGGGTATATATAATAGGGCTAAAATCCAAATTTAGGGTGGCGTTGGGGTTAGGGTTAGGGTTAGGGTTGCAGCGGCGCTGCAGACCACGCCCCGCCACACACATTAACCAGGTAAAATACATATTTAGGCAGAATTTTGCAAATATCTATTTGTCATCTTTCAGCAGCATAGAGCTTTTTTTCCAATTATTTTTTAAAAGTCAGGTCAAGGCTCCAAAAGCCCAAAGGAGATATGAGGGTGGCGGCTCACAGCAGTTTTTGTTTGCTGGATCATTTTAGTTCAGCGTCTTTCCTTTGGTTATATTTCTTTAAGAGTTCAAAATGTGTTAATTACATAAATAAAATGTAATTTTCTCTGTAGCACTTCATGGATTTCATAAGCAACACACCTTAGTTGTTCACACAAAGCATAAAGTAAAAAACAATATATACAGTGTTATCTTCATTTTAGACGTCAAAACGTATTCGCGGCTCCCAGTGTTTTCTTTTGCGTGGAAACTGGGTCCAAATGGCTCTTTGGGTCTTAAAGGCTGCTGACCCCTGGGTTAGCACATCATTATATACCAGCTAGCCCAACTTCAGTAACCCTAGAAACGTCACTGCTGTTTAGTTTTCTGTCTTCATTTATTTTGGAAGTGATAACAGAGCTGTACGTTTGAATTTTTCAGAAATCTCTCAGTCAGAACATGCTCATGTTTAGGTGGAAGCTAGCGAGCTAACTTCCTGCTAACTTCTAACTCCGTTAATTGTAATAAATACTTGTAATTGTTACACCTGGTAAAGCAGTAACACTGATCATTTTATTAAAGATGAAAGAATTTAGACAGAATTTGGACCTGAAACAGACTGAGTTTTGGACCCAGATTACTCCGAGAGGCTACGGTAGCCGTAATGCTCCAACAATCCATCCAGTGGTGCGGCTTTGTAGCTTAGCAAAGTCCTGCTAAAACATTTTCTAACAGATTTCTGAGCACAGTGTACTGCAATAAATCGGTTTCGTTGTCAGTAAGCACAACCAGAATTCATACATAAGTGCACCAGATGTGTAAGTGTGCCTTACAGTGCTGAAAATACGGTAAATAAAAAATGATGAGAAAGGATGCCTTCTACAGTCAAAGCTGCTGACTTACTTTAGCTTCCCTGGTCCTTGTCCATAGCCCTTAGTTTCCAGTTTCCTGTAGAAGTTTCGCAGTTTTGCCTCAAAGTCCCTCTTGTAGGGTGCTGGTGCTCTGGCATTAGCTCTCTGAGTACCTACGCACACACTTAAATGTTTACTTTGATGGGTTATGTCAACAAGCTGACAGATAAAGCAGAAATTTCATTTATATGTGCAGAATTCTACCAAGCAAGAATAAGCCAATTAATTTCGTCACATGCACAACAACAGTGGTGCAGCTGTCATACTGTCTTCTGATTTTACCAATGGTTGTCAGAAACATTAAGTCTTTATTGTTGGTGTGAAAAGTCATTCATTTTAGCTCAGAGCTCAATTTCTTTCTGTTGAACTGGAGTTCTGAGTTCAGTTCAAGGTCAACATTTCCTAGTTGGCCAATCCAGATATTCTACGTGAATCAGCTGTACAGCAATGTGAAGTGCACTTAACGAAAATATCAGCAAAGTACTCTGCAGGGCTCAAACACAGTAAAAGGTTCCATATGAATTTGTGAGAGAGGGTTTGTGGATAATATTTTTTGCATGTGTTGGGTTTTTTCACAATGACTTTTCTGTTGATCTTTTACCAGGTGAATTCTGTGGGGAAGAGACAGGTGACCCCCGAGGTGACTGGCAGTAGCTGGGGTGAAGTAAGGCATGAGGAGGCACATAGGACATCACTTCTTCTTCAAACAGACTGCAGATGGAAGGTTGGAGAGGGGATGAAGGGACATAAAAAAGAAACCAATTCACTAAATGCAATTACTTCAGCAGAGCAGCGAGAAAATGAAAAAAAAAGGTAATAACAAGAAGGGGATACACAACTAGTCCGATTAGAAAAAGGAAAGCCAAGAAAAAAAAGAATAAGACAGAGGAGGTAAAGCAGAAATATGTCACCTTAGCAACATGACAAGGTCGGCAGATCCCGACAGCCTGGCCAATCCTGACACTCCATCTGTGCGGATCAGCTGCACTTTCTCCCTGTTGTCACAGCAACATTACAATGGCAATGCTGTTCATTAATGTATCCTATGCATGTATTTCACTTTGACTTTGGCTACTTGAGGGGCAACTGGAGCAGACAGGATCCCAGTCTGCTCCAGTCTCTGTACGAACCCCATGCTCTCCGATGCAACCACTGGAGTATGCATGTGTGCGTTAGACAGAAAGCACTCAGAAAATAGTCCTACATGAGGCTGTGTAAAGCGCTTTGAGTGCTCAGAGAGAGTAGATTAAGCGCTATATAAGAATCAGTCCATATTATTTGTGTGTTGTGACTGCTTCTTGCAGACAAAAGCAGTTTCTGCTGGAAAGTCTTGGTTTGCAGTTGCAGTATGGTCTCCAGAAAATTGCAATTTTTATTTTTGAGTTTGCAACGAAAGATTTATCATAGTCAGGACATTTTGCATTGATCTTTTCACATTTCCAGGCGTATTTGAAGGTTATGATCAGATTTTAGGGCTAGTGTTTTCAGCTTGTATCAATTTATAGTTTAAATATTAATTTAACAATAATCTTAATTAATTTCTAATATGTTTTTGTAAATGTTTCATCATTTTATTATTGATTTTTATTTCCATTTTCATTTTTTGGCACTTGCTGTTTGTGCATGTCTTTGATTATTATGTTGTAAAACTTCAAAAATTAATAGAAAAAAAATGTTGCAATGCAATTAGCAGTAGCACAATGAACTTTGCTTCCTGCTTTGATGATTTTCTCTTCTGATAATTAGGTTTTCTTGCAATACTTAAATGTTTCTAAATATGATACCACTGTTAAATAGGAACAAGGCACAGCAATATTTTTCATCTTGTCTAAGGTCTCTAATATATGAAGTTGATTCTTGTAGTTTGTTTCCTGCAAGCTGAATCATGTTCCTCATCAAAGCTACTTAAAACACGTTTAAGTTCTAACTGGGTTTTTCCTAATGAGCCACATTCAACATGTCTTCATAAAGTTTAGCTCAAAAATAATATTTCAGTAAAAATCTGTCAAGATCACCACCGCTTTTAGGAAGTCAATCTCTATACCATGAAACAGAAAACAAATTATGCCCAATTGGACTGAAATATCTACCAACTTGGATTTTTCATTTTTATTCTTTTTGTCATTTGAGACCCGTGGAGCAATCATAAGGTCTATGT